CTCAAAAAATAAATTATTTTGAAACCAAATTATTTTATCCCTAAAAGTTTATTTATTAGTGACATTTTCAAAATTTTGTCGCTAAGCCTTATTTTTGATTTTTCAGGACGACCTTTTAGCGACTATCTTTATTTTTTATTTTTACTTTTAGAGATCAAAACATTTAACCTCTAAAACTCTTATATGTTGTAGTGACAACTTAATGTTCATTTTTTATTTTTTTTCTTAACAAAGTGCAAGCGTTTTCGACAATTGCACTATCTTTACTTGGTTCAAATAAGATTATATGGCGCTAACAACTCAAAAAGTATAACTATATAGACTAGTGGCTGTTTGGGGTTGGGTTTTAGTGATTTTTTGATTTTTTAAAATATTTTTTTTATTAATGTGTTTAAAAAATAACTTTTTGTTAGAGAAAAAAAAAAATCAATGTGGGATTTAATTTTTTTAACTTTTTGGCTTATTTAGAAGTTGATTTATTTTTATTTTTATTTTTATTTTGGTGTTGCCAAACACCTCTTAAGCCCAGCACAATAGTTGGTTCCCAATAAGACTAGGGAGACTTATGGGCCGGTCTTTTTCACTAATAGGGCCCAGCCTATCCCATTAAACTAGGACTGCTATGTGGACTAATTGGAGATCCTATAAAACCTGTTCATAATTATACAAAATAAACACAACAATGAGAGACAAGACCCAAAACACACAACAATGAGAGCAAGTTTCATTTAATAAATCGTTCAGAGATCAGCTAAACTCAGCATTTGTAGGGTGTGCAAAAAAAAAAAAAAAACCAGTCTACTTGTCCAAAACTCACAAACCGCATTGATTTGTTTCATCACTTTTGGTTTGAGAGTGTTGGCTAATTATGTTGGGCTAGTTACACACTAATTTATGTGGATTAGATTATGTGCGATTTAAAATATTCAACCTGTATAAATAACAGACCCAACCCATCAACACTTGTATATAAATGAAATTTAAAATAAATCTTTCCATTTTTGACTCCCCACCCTTTTAATTGTCCATGCTCTCCCTTGTTGATACTTCTTGAACACGTGCATTTTTTTAATTATTTTTTTATTTTATTTTATTGGACAGATATATCCACCTATCAACGTACTCCCATCACTTTCTCGTTTAATGAAGGTAAGCTATTAAAAGAGGTCTTGGGTCTGACTCCTGCAATGATATTATAACCTTGTTTGGGAACTTAAGTTTGAGGTTAAAATAGTCTCACACACTAAAAAATTCAATTAGTCTCAAATAATATCTTAAATCAATGATTTATATTTTAAAAAAAACAAAAAAAAAAAACAACTCGGCAGTGGCAGCCTACACTGTCACATTGGCAGTGCACTTATAGCCTACCACTGTCACATTGGCAGGCTATCCCACAAGTAATAAATGATAATTTTGCCCAAATTTTGAAAAAAGTGAGGTTAGGGACAAATTTGTTATTTTAGCCTCAAACGTCATTTCAAATACATTTTTCAATACAACAATCAACCAAAAAATTCAACCCAACTTTCCAAACATAGAAAACTAAAATAGCCTACTAAAATAGTCAAATAATCAAATAGCCAAAAAGTCAAAAAAGTAACCACTTCCCGAACAAGGCCTATGATTTACCTGAGGGGGAAAAAGAAAAGAAAAGCAAATATGATGAACTCACTGTCTCCTTTTTGTCTTTTGGTAGAGTGCTATTGGTGAGGGAATGACTCGTCGAGACCATGCTGATGTCTCTAACCAGGTCTAGTTTGGAATTTGCGTTGATTAAAGCTCCATTTACTGTTCTGCTTCGTTTTGTCCTAATTAACAGTCTTGATTTCCATCTTCAGTTATATGCAAATTATGCCATTGGAAAAGATGTTCAGGCAATGAAAGCCGTGGTTGGAGAAGAAGCACTTTCTTCTGAGGATCTGGTCTGTCTGTCTCACTGTGTGTGTGTGTGTGTGTGCGCGCGAGCTCGCGTTTTTGAGTGAACCATAATTCTTAATTAATTGCTTATATGAGGAAATAATGAGGCTTCTTTGTTTTTTGTTTATTTGTTTTTGTTTTCTTGCAAAATTTAGCTTTATTTGGAGTTCCTAGACAAATTTGAAAGGAAATTTGTTTCCCAAGGGGCATACGACACTCGGAACATTTTTCAGTCACTTGATTTGGCTTGGACACTGCTTCGTATCTTCCCCCGTGAGCTTCTCCACCGTATACCAGCAAAGACATTGGACCAGTACTACAGTCGCGATGCAACAAACTCAGATGGAACGTGATCTCACATATCTTTCATTTGAATTTAACAGTTCACTACTGAGTGGCCACGTTGTTTGGCTGCATGAATCACCAGAATAAGGGTCCATATATAGTAGGAAACATCTTTTTCTCTTATTTGTATGTCTATGAAGACCCCTTGATTTGGTAGCGATTTCACTTTTCGTAACAAATGTAATTTAGACTTATATTTGGCATTGCCTGGTATATCCTTGTAATAAGTTGTACAAATGGCATTGTCTTCGAAATAAGTGTTAGGAACAAATGAGATTTATTCCAACCTTTCAAATGTGTGTTATTTCTATGGTGTACAAAAATACAAACTGTTTTGTGCTGATTTGTTTTGTTTTTTCCAGTGAATTGTGATTGTACGGGGAGCAAATATTCAGGCAAGCCCGTATTCCTTTCTTCCAAGCTCCGTTTTTGTCCGATCACCTGCGAGCACAACAGCGGTGAGCTACCTGGCGGTGTGTGGCCAGAAAACCCCTCCGACGATCAAGTCAGAACATACACAGGGGATAGATAGAGAGAAGGGAGAATGTTTAGTGTAAATCTCACCAAATGTTCATCTGTCCACGTATGGGGGGCGCAGACGTGCTTATATACATTCTGCGCTCCAAATCTACTCCCAGTGACCTCTCAACACGTGGCACTGTTATCCCATCTGTCAGCATAAACCTTGCTGAGCACCACCTAACCCAACTGTCTGCCCATTCTCCTTGGAGCTCGGCAGCCGGGCAGTTCCATCTCGGCCATCGTCTGCCATGCTGCGCTTCATGCCCAAGTACTCCAACAGCTAAGCTCAGATGAGGATCGGACTCGGCGGCATCTTGGCAAAGCCAAGCTCGGGACTACTTACGCTTGTCTGCGGTCGACCTACCTGCCGAGCAAAAAGGTACCTCGGTCCAACCTTGCCTTTCCTAGCGCTGGACTTTTCACCTGACCGGCTTCATAACTACGGATCCTTGCAGCTCGGTCAATCAACGCGCTGCCTTAACCGAGCAGCTTCCTTCAAGGCCGGGCCATACAACTTGGCCCAACACCTGTTCGGCCCAAATCTGTCTGGCACAACTCTGTCCGGCCCAAATCTGTTCGGCCCAACTCTGTCCGGCACAAATTCCATATCATTAATCTCCCTCTCAATTGCCCCTTAATTCCGTCTGCTGAAGCGTGACTGGGATTACCTATCCTGACCAGGGTAATACTTCATCGGTCTTCAGTATGCAAGACGGTGACCGCACTAAGAAGGCGAGCAAGGTCCGCTCCACGACTTCCTTCTTGGCGAGCAAGATCAGCTCGGCCAAGGAACTCCAAAGAAGGCGAGCAACATCACCTCGGCAAGGAACTCCAAGGAAGGCGAGCAAGGTCCTCTCCGCGACTTCCTTCTTGGCGAGCAACATCAGCTCGGCAAAAAACTCCAAGGTCGGCGAGCAAGGTCCGCTCCGCGACTTCCTTCTTGGCGAGCAACATCAGCTCGGCAAGGAACTTCCAAGGTCGGCGAGCAAGGTCCGCTCCGCGACTTCCTTCTTGGCGAGCAACATCAGCTCCGCGACTTCCTTCTCGGCGAGCAACATCAGCTCGGCAAGGAACTCTAAAGAAGGCGAGCAAGGTCCGTTCCGCGACTTCCTTCTTGGCGAGCAACATCAGCTCGGCCAAGGAACTCCAAAGAAGGCGAGAAAGGTCCGCTCCGCGACTTCCTTCTCGGCGAGCAAAATCAGCTCGGCAAGGAACTCCAAGGAAGGCGAGCAGGGTCCGCTCCGCGACTTCCTTCTCAGCGAGCAACATCAGCTCGGCAAGGAACTCTAAAGAAGGCGAGCAAGGTCCGCTCCGCGACTTCCTTCTTGGCGAGCAACATCAGCTCGACAAGGAACTCCAAGGAAGGCGAGCAAGGTCCGCTCCGTGACTTCCTTCTCGGCAAGCAATATGTTAGAATTTACCATAACCTACCACCACCTACTCCTCACCTACTACACTCACCCTCTCCTATATAATGAGCCACTCACCATTTGTAATATATATCAATCAATATATCAATCATAATATATACACAATTTATGCTCTCTCTCTATCAGTTTATTTTTACATGGTATCAGAGCAGGTGTAGAACCTAATATTTTTCACTTCCCCGGCGGGCGGCAACCTCGCCTTAGCCGCCCGCCGGGCTTCAACCTATTCAGCTTATTTTTCTACACATACCTTCCCATCACTGCCTAAATCCTTCTCTTCCTCGCCGGCCGGATTCCTGCTAAAAATGGATGTTCGCCGGCGAAATGACAAGCCATCACCCAAATCAGCCGGCGAACCTCTGAACCTCTGTCGCCTCCTGCAGCAATCCTTCTGTTGACGCGTCGCCTTCGATTTCAGATCTGTGTTGCCTTCATCCTCCACCATCAGATGGCGTAGATCCGCTTTTTTAACTAAGGGAAAGCCTTCACCTTTAAATACATGACCCAGATGGCCACCACAAGCTGCACATGTAATTTCAATCCTCATTGCGGTTTATGGCTCCAGGAAGACTTTCAACCGGAGTTGAATTTAGTTGTTGCCTTGTAGAGAGGAGTTCCACATCCAGCACAGGTATAGACTCCCTCAGCAAAGAGCTTGCCCTCCCCTCTTCGTCTGATTTCTGCACAGCCCAGAAGCAGCCCACTTTTGCACCAATCCATACCTTTTTTTTTTCTTCTAAAGCCCCTGAGTTTGTCCCCTTGGTCTTGGACTCTCTCTCTCTCTCTCTCCTATCATACACAGATCCATACATTATTTTTATTATCACTTCCTCTCACTCTCTCATAAAATAATACCCCCACTTTACCTTTATTTATTTTATTTTATCTTCACTTTTTCTTTATCTGCAGCTGCTCCACAGGGCACATGCTCACTTTACCTTTATTTATTTTATTTTATCTTCACTTTTTCTTTATCTGCAGCTGCTCCACAGGGCACATGCTCACTTTACCTTTATTTATTTTATTTTATCTTCACTTTTTCTTTATCTGCAGCTGCTCCACAGGGCACATGCTCACTTTACCTTTATTTATTTTATTTTATCTTCACTTTTTCTTTATCTGCAGCTGCTCCACAGGGCACATGCTTATATTATTATTATTATTATTATTATTATTATTATTCTTACACAAAAAAAAAAAAAAAAAAAAAAAAAAAAAAAAAAAAAAAAAAGTTTTTAAAATTTTTTTTTAAATTTTTTTTTTTTTTTTAATTTTTTTATAATCCTAAGGTTATCAATAGCTAAAATAGCCTTAAGAGTTGTCATCCAAATAAAGGCCACCTGATGTAGCATCAAGGGTTGACGTAGCACCAAAAAGAAGAACAGAAGGAGAATGAAACATAGAAGAACAAATAAATTGGGGAATCACAATCCCATCATTATATTTTATATCAATATCCCAATTATAGGCTCAAACCATGTTGTACACTCTCAAACATATTGCATATCAATGTACTTATAAGCATCTCAAGAACATTCCCATAAGGAAACAAAATCTCAATATAACTATAATTCTTTATATAATTATAATTCTTAAAAACAAAACTACTCTCGTATATAAAACTCTAAATTAATTAAAATTCCTAATGATAATCATATTCAATCTATGCCTCATCCAATTCTTTGGCATTCCCTATCACCACCTTTGGAGGAACCTATTGTTTTCCAAATCCCACTCCACAGGAATGCTTGCTCTCTCCCTATGCACAATGATTCATAGAATGAAGGGACTGAGGATAAGCCATTCCCAGTATTTTCCAGGCCATCAAATTCTGAATCTCCCATCAATGGGCACTCATAAAGTGACCAAAAAAATCCAATATGGAGTCTATCTTCCTGTCTTGTAGTGTACTCCTGAACTGGTGGTTGTCCACCTTTGAAGGCACCTTAGTTTTGCTTCATGTACAATGCACAGTAGATCACTTTCTAGTCAAACTTATATTTTCAGTGGATAATACTCCTGTTCAAACATTGTTTATGAATTTTGTTTGGTTGGACATATAAATATCACTGCAATTGTGATTGTCTTGGTGACAACACGACATTTGAGTAATGTTACTAATGTATATCATTGTTGTGTTGCTGGAGGTAGACTTGTGTGGGGAGAAGCATCTATATTGTAGTATGTTAATTCAATTTTCTTGTTTGGCAGTCCCAAAATATTATCTACAAATTAATGTTTACAGAGCTACTTATTATACCAAAAACTTGCTCTTTTTCTATACACATAACTAAAGGTAGTTTGGATGCATCATAGTTCTCTTACCATGCACGTGCAATTTTCTTACAACTTGATTGCATTCTTCATAAACAACTTTTAGATATGGATAGATAATGCATAAGTGTCCTTCAGCATGACAGGTCTTTTCCATCTTATGCAAAAAAGAAAAAGAAATAAAATGTTAAAATTTACCATCACCTACCACCAATTTACCATAACCTACCACCACCTACTCCTCACCTACTACACTCACCCTCTCCTATATAATGAGCCACTCACCATTTGTAATATATATCAAACCACCACCTACTCCTCACCTACTACACTCACCCTCTCCTATATAATGAGCCACTCACCATTTGTAATATATATCAATCAATATATCAATCATAATATATACACAATTTATGCTCTCTCTCTATCAGTTTATTTTTACACAATATCAGCTCGGCAAGGAACTCCAAGGAAGGCGGGCAAGGTCCGCTCTGCGACTTCCTTCTCAGCGAGCAACATCAGCTCGGCAAGGAACTCCAAGGAAGGCGAGCAAGGTCCGCTCCGCGACTTCCTTCTCGGCGAGCAACATCAGCTCGGCAAGGAACTCTAAAGAAGGCGAGCAAGGTGCGCTCCGCGACTTCCTTCATGGCAAGCAACATCAGCTCGGCAAGGAACTCCAAGGAAGGCGAGCAAGGTTCGCTCCGCGACTTCCTTCTCGGCGAGCAACATCAGCTCGGCAAGGAACTCCAAGGAAGGCGAGCAAGGTCCGCTCCGCGACTTCCTTTTTGGCGAGCAACATCAGCTCGGCCAAGGAACTCCTAAGAAGGCGAGCAAGGTCCGCTCCGCCACTTCTTTCTTGGCAGACAAGAACAGCTCGGCCAAGGAACTCCAAAGAAGGCGAGCAAGGTCCGCTCCGCCATTTCTTTCTTGGCGGACAAGAACAGCTCGGCCAAGGAACTCTAAAGAAGGCGAGCAACATCCGCTCCGCGACTTCCTTCTTGGCGAGCAACATTAGCTCGGCCAAGGAACTCCAAAGAAGGCGAGCAAGGTCCGCTCCGCCACTCCTTTCTTGGCAGACAAGAACAACTCGGCCAAGGAACTCCAAAGAAGGCGAGCAAGGTCCGTTCCGCCACTTCTTTCTTGGCGGACAAGAACAGCTCGGCTAAGGAACTCCAAAGAAGGCAAGCAACATCCGCTCCGCGACTTCCTTCTTGGCGAGCAACATTAGCTCGGCTGAAACTTCGGAGTTAAACAAATCATCAACTCTTCAGCCGGAGTAAAACATCTCGGCTGGAACCTCGCAGTTTAGCAAATCATCAACTCTTCAGCCGGAGTAAAACATCTCGGCTGAAACCTCGCAGTTGAGCAAATCATCAACTCACCAGCCGGAGTAAATCATCTCGACTGGAACCTCGGAGTTGAACAAATCATCAACTCACCAGCCGGAGTAAATCATCTCGGCTGGAACAGAAGAGTAGGCCCCTCATCCACTATTATTTCGGACATAACAAAGCTCTTCAGCAAAAGTAATTCACTTCTATTACATTGACAAAAAAATATTTGCATTCAGAAGTGTAGGGGAAACAAGTCCCTCAAAAAATTACATAAGGCCGCATTCCATGGCCGGGGTACACCTTTGCCATCCAAATCCTCTAAGTGGTATGCCCCCTTACCCGGTTATCTTGTAAGGCTCTTCCTAGTTTGCCCCTAGCTTGCCTTCACCCGGCACTAGTGCGTTGCCCATGACCTTCCTTAAAAGCCAGTCGCCCACTTGCCCGTTGCCATCGAGGTTGTCTCCGCGGTGGACGTCGTTGCATCATCCTCTACTCGGATGTGCTCATTGATGCACTACATTAGGTGCCACATGGATGTCTGCTGGCTCATTGTAAGCGAATCCCTCAGCCTATGTCTGAGCGGGAGATCGCGCTTATATTGAGTGATTACCAGGTTGACCGGGCAATCTAGGATCTCATTGAAGGTATCCCAGTACCTGGAGTTGTACGCCTTGAGAGTGTCGCTCAGTTCCATCCTGACACTGAGAAGGTGGTCAACTTCCTTTGGCGTTTTGGTGTTGGTTTTGAAACGCGTCACAAAGGCTTCCGCCAACCGCTGCCACCTTTCTATGCTTCCCTCCGGCAACCTCTCAGACCATTTCAAGCCCAACTCGCCCAAACTTGACGGGAAGATGAGGCACATAAGAGCGTCATTTCGCCTACGTCCGGCCATCACCTGTCGGAAGTGGCTTACATGCATATACGGATCGGTCTTTCCGTCATAAAGCGTGAACTTTGGCTGGTGGAAGCCCGCGGGAAGCGGTGTTGTTTCTATCTCCAGGGAGAAAGTGGTGGCGCTCAGCCTCGTCAAGTCTGTATCTACAAGGAGTGGCGCCACTAGGCGGGGTGGGGGCATTCCGACCTCCTCGCTGGCATGAACCCTGTAGGATAGTCGCTGGAACGCCGACACCCTTTGAGCCTCCCGCTGGCGAGCCCGTTCCTTCAAGACTGCCCGCAAGTCCTATAAACGAGCGGAATAGGAATATCTCGACGTTGTCACCGAACGTGAGGGCTGGTAAGTGCTATCTTGCGCGCTGGACTTCTCTGAACGGCGGGATGGGGTGCACTCTCTGTGGTCTACCACTCCATCTACACCCTTCCCCTTGACATGCCACTTCAACTCCTCCATCTCCGCCGCCATTCGCCGGATGACAGCGTCTTGGTCCCTCAACTTGTGTTCCAGACGTCGGGCATGTGATTCTCTCCGCCGCCGATGACCGTCTGGACTTCGTGAATGACCATAACTTCTTCCGCGCTTATCCTGCGCGTCTCCTGACTGTCCTCCAGTGAACGTATCCAAGTTGCCATTGGAAGGATGGCAGGATGTCCTTCTCTCCGTCGGGTGAACTCCGGGGTAGCTCCATCGATGGCGGACAATGGAATCTCGTCGTTGTTCGCCATGGACGGCGATCAGATGAGCCTGGAAGACAAGGTTTTATCTGTCAAGCTTCCCACAGACGGCGCCAATTGTACGGGGACCAAATATTCAGGCAAGCCCGTATTCCTTTCTTCCAAGCTCCGTTTCTGTCCGATCACCTGCGAGCACAATAGCGGTGAGCTACCCGGCGGTGTGTGGCCGGAAAACCCCTCCGACGATCAAGTAAGAACATACACAGGGGATAGATAGAGAGAAGGGAGAATGTTTAGTGTAAATCTCACCAAATGTTCATCTGTCCACGTATGGGGGGCGTAGACGTGCTTATATACCTTCTGCGCTCCAAATCTACTCCTAGTGACCTCTCAACACGTGGCACTGCTATCCCATCTGTCAGCATAAACCTTGCTGAGCACCACCTAACCCAACTGCTTGCCCATTCTCCTGGGAGCTCGGCAGCCGGGCAGTTCCATCTCGGCCATTGTCTGCCATGCTGCGCTTCATGCCCAAGTACTCCAACAGCTAAGCTCAGATGAGGATCGGACTCGGCGGCATCTTGGCAAAGCCGAGCTCGGGACTACTTACGCTTGTCTGCGGTCGACCTACCTGCCGAGCAAAAAGGTACCTCGGTCCAATCTTGCCTTTCCTAGCGCTGGACTTTTCACCTGACCGGCTTCATAACTACAGATCCTTGCAGCTCGGTCAATCAACGCGCTGCCTTAACCGAGCAGCTTCCTTCAAGGCCGGGCCACCCAACTTGGCCCAACACCTGTTCGGCCCAAATCTGTTTGGCATAACTCTGTCCGGCCCAAATCTGTTCGGCCCAACTCTGTCCGGCACAAATTCCATATCATTAATCTCCCTCTCAGTGATTATCTCTCTAAAGTTTAAAAACAATGCAACAAAATTTCACATTTTTTGAAGTGGGATATAATTAACT